TGATATGATTATAAACTATCTACAAATCATGTCAAATGAAGAACTCTTTGGTACGAGTATAAACTATCTATAAATCAAGTCAAGTGAAAAAATCCATGATATAAGTATAAACTATGGGCCAAATTAAATCAAGACTCTTTGATACAAGTTTAAACTATCTACAAATTCAAATTGAAGAACTTCTGGACAAGAGTTTAAACTATCTGCATGTCTTAACCAAATCCAAATTTTGAGACTCATACTACAAAGACACTTTGTCCGTGAACAAGTCTGAAGGGGGCATTTGTAGACATCGTAATTTTAATATTTTTATTAATTAATGTCTTTATTTATTTTTGGACATAAATCCAAGATAAGGAAGATATTTTTTGCCCAACAAGTAAAATCTTAGGATAAGAAAAAAGATTTTATCAAATCATGAAGGAACAATCAAATTTATATTTTTTTCCCCAAAACTTTCTCTCCTACACCTATAAATAGGGGCTCTCCCAAAGCCAAAAGAGAGACACTTCAAAATCAAAGTCTCAAATTCAAGAGCTCTCAAGAACTCTCTTGAAGATTTGAAGACGTTCGTGAAGATCCAAGTGCATTCAAGTTGATTATGCAAGCAAACATTTGAACTGTCGAAGTACGTTCAATGAAGAAGAAGAAAGAGGCGGCATTTCTTCTTCAAGAAGTAAAGAAATGACATCCACTTCTCTCAAATCAATCCAACAATATCAATTGCGTTCAACCGATATTCAAGCCGCGTTCATCGAGAAGTTCAACCAACATAGGTTTGATCCAAGAAAAAGCTATCATGCCCTCAAGTCAACATTATTCAAGCCAAAATTCTCATTCTAGGAAGATCAAATAAACAAGTCTTGCAAGAATTCATCTCCAATCATATCATATCCTACCATTTAATATGAGAATAAGTCATTCGAACTCAAAGTAGTGTTAGAGTAACTCAAAATCAAGCCCAAGGAAGATCTAATCTTCAAACCACTTGAAAATCAAATCGAAGTGCATGAAGAGAAGAATCAGATGAGACATATAAAGATTGTACCCGCAAAATCGTTTGATTGAAATAAGTCAAGTTGTACAAATATTTTATGTTTTTCATAAAAGTCATTGTTACAGTAAGTATATTGTAAAGCTTAGAGAGTGTCCGTATCCCTTCATATGTGATATCTATATATAGTGAACTCTTGACTTGTTGCCCAAGATTTGCCCAATTAGGCTGTCCAGGTGACCCGACTACCCGAAGGTCTACTTGATTTTACTGCTTGTTTGCCCAGACTCCCTTAAGGTATGTTCAACGGTTATCTTACTGCCCGTAGGGTCAAGATCCTTCCTAGATAACCCTCCACGTGTGCCCCATTAGTAGATCTATCAACTTATTTTTAACACGTATATCAAATACATTGTGAGTACGTCTTTCGCATATTCATGTCCTACAAGTCCACCAAGTCCAACTCTCAGCAGGTCTGACTATGTTAACTACTCACAGATACATTACAGGTAGGTTCACCGAGCTACTAGCTACATGTCCCTTACATATACATACTATCAGTAGGTCAAACGACCTACTTGTCCTTTAGGTCCCTTAGATTCATTAGCACAAGGTCCACCGACCTAGTGTCCATAGGTCCCTTGCGTACACATACTACTAGTAGGTCCACTGAACTACTTTCTAGAGGTCTACATAAACTGTCCTCAAGTCGACTAGATACACTGTCAATAGGTCTTTCGTGCATATGACCCCTAGGGCCATCACACCGAACTGTTTGTAGGTCCTTCATACACACTGTTCTTAGTTAATCACCATACCCAAGGTACTAAGAGGTCATCATCATGTCTGAGCTACCAAGAAGTCATCATCATGCCCAAGCTACTAAGAGGTCATCATCATGTCCGAGCTACCAAGAGGTCATCATCATGTCTGAGCTACAAAGAGTTCATCATCATGCTTGAGCTACCAAGTGGTCATCATCAAGCCCAAGCTACTAAGAGGTCATCATCATGTTCGAGCTACCAAGAGGTCATCATCATGTCTGAGCTACAAAGAGTTCATTATCATGTCCGAGCTACCAAGAGGCCATCATCATGCCCAAGCTACTAAGAGGTCATCATCATGTTCGAGCTACCAAGAGGTCATCGTCATGTCTAAGCTACAAAGAGTTCATCATCATGCCCGAGCTACTTCGAGCTACTAGAACCGTGCTACTCGAGCTACCTTCAAGACAGCTCAACCGAGCTACTCTATGTCAACTTAACTGAGCTGTATAATCGATAGCTCACCCGAGCAACTCAAGATCAAGTTATTCGAGCTACATGAGGACTGCCAACCATGCTTATTATGTCCGGTTCATCCGAACTATTCTATATGTTATATCACGTGGGACATTTTCTAACAACTATTGGTCTGAAGTCCACGAAATTTTCAAGATATTAAATGATCTGAAAAGAGCTTTTATCTAGTAGAATTTCAAGTAGTTCACGAACTGCTTGCTTCGATTACAAACCTAATTTCGGTTGCTTCGCTAAAATCCTGAATACATCTATATTTAGTATTTTTTTTCTTCCAAACGATTGATATTATACCAAATAAACTCACAAGTTACAATAAGCCTTTAAGCCCCAGGGCTTAACCCACCCTCCTGGAATTACTAAGCTACCAGGAAGAAATCAAAAGAGCTTTTTTTTAAAAAAAAAATTACAATACTTACAAGCAACCAGATGACAAGTAAAGGAAGAGTTCAGACAAAGACCAAAAGCAAAAGAACAAGATCAGCAAAAACATGTCCTCCTCTTCCCCAAAGAAAGTAAGAAAAAACATAAAAAACACTAAATGCACAACCTAAAATCAGTAAATAGGTCATGTCAAATTCCCACTGGATGCCCAACCGGGTCTCTAGTTCAATGACACTGCCTACTCCTGAAACATGTCAAGGGTTTAGCTCTGTAAATTCCTGCCATTCCACCCAAGCCTTCTCCACAATTTCTTTCTCATTCTTCCAGCTTTTTTCAAAAATCCATTGATTTCTTGCCTTCCATAAACCCCACATAATGTATACTGAAAAGCAAATTCTATCATTAAATAATTCAGTCTTCTTCCCATTGCTCACTATTTTCCACCACTCCTCAAAATTAAACTCCACATATTTACAACCTTCCCAAGACACCCCTGCTAACTTCCAAACTAAAACAACTCTTCTACATTGAAAAAGAATATGTTCAGTGTTCTCCTCCTCCTCTCCACACACTCCACAAATTCCTTCCTCCAAGACTTTTCTTTTACAGAGATTTATTGCTGTTGGAAGTGCATTATTGATTCCTCTCCAAAGAAAATGCTTCAGTTTTCCTTTAACCTTTAGCGCCCAAATGTTCAGCCACATTTTCTTAACACTCCTGCGATGACTGCTGCTTTTTGGTATATTTAGTATTTACCTCTAAAAGTTATTCATGTACCATATATGGGTTGGTGAAAATTAGGATCCATGTGGTGATTATAACAACCTCATGCCAAGATATGCACATGTATTGTTTTTCCCTTTTCAGCATTTGCAAGGAGTTTTGGTCAAGTGATTTCCACACCCACCCCAAGTGTATTCCCTCAATTCTTTGCACTCCATTTTGTGGCACATTCTTAAATTTGTCAGCACTTAATTGTCCTTGGACTGCTTGATTGAACTGATTTTGATGCTGTTAATTAATGTCTGTAATTCTGTAAATTATGTTACCTATATGGACTCATAATTTTTTAACATCTCATCCACATCAGAATCATCAATTCGTTTTGGTCTCATCTGCATTATTCGATCCCTAAACTAAAAGAAAACCCCAAAGACTGCCCAAGAAAAATTCGTTCGCTTGTTTGTTTGTACGTGTTTGTTCCAATTGGATTTTTTTTTGCCCCAGTGAATAAAATGGGGACACTAATAACTAATCAAGACAACGTAACGGGAAATTAAATATTTGTACAGGGATATGGTTGAAAAGGTAAAATCCAGGCAAAATGAAACAAAAGTAGTTGAGGTGTTTATATGTATCATTTTTGTACCATCACTATGAAAGTTTGTGACTTGCGTCAGAAATTTGGCATACTGAAGAATAATAATTCAGATACCAAATGAATAGTGCACTTTATATCCGATCCCAAACTAGATGATCCCATCACATAATGCGCTCAATATAAATTATTAGTTTATAGGAACAATATTTTATTTTTAAATCTTCATCAAATGTTTATGGCTTATTTGGTATCTGAATAGACAGAATTGAACTTGAGAAAATGACATATAAAGAACAAACTCGAATAAAAGAATCTCCAAACTAAAGAAACAAATAGCTAAGACGTGAATATAATGCGAATGATCTCTCCAACTCATTTTCTTTAATCAGAAATATTAATCTCATATAGTTGCTACATTCATGCAATGTGTAACATCTTACACTCATGAATGTAACACATAACTCATCTTAAATTAATTTTATTTTAACAAAAAATATAACACTTATCACTTTTTTTTTTTTAACTTTTTTGTTTTTGTAAATATATAATAATCATGCTACATTTTATAATTCAAATTTTAATACATAAATTTATGTAAATAACTATTCCATATATATAAGATATGTAATATTAAAATATAAATTAATTAATTCTTTATAAATTATTGATAGTGCGTAACATATATTTCTATCAAATACTTAAAATTTATAAAATGTTAAATAATATACACATATTAAATAATTATACATTATAAATATTATCCTTATATACATGACACATCAATTATCATATATTGATGTAATTTTTTATTATAATTTTTCTCTATATTACACGGGTACAAACTACTACTAATAATAATTTTCTTTGGGTTTTTACTGGTCAGGGGGGCTTTTGGTAATTCCAGTCCAAGAAGCCGTGTTAAATCCAAGCCACAAAACCCACATCCAAACGAAATCCCTCAAAATGAAATTGAACCTCACTTTCGCTTTTGCAAAGCAAAGCTATGGCTTCCACAACCTCATCAATCGCCGCCCTAGCTCTCCCTGCTCACCCTTCTCCTCAACCGGCGCACGCTAGAAAACACGCGCCGGTGGCGCTTCCGACGCGGAGGCACTGCCTGGTGCTGCTCACGGCCGCCACGGCGGCGCTGACGGCGGTTGAGATGCCCGCCGGAGCGCAGGACATACCGCTCTTCGGGCTGCGGCGGGGCCTGCGCAAGGCGGAGGAGGAGGCGGAGCAGATCGTGAAGGAAGGGTTCGAGGCGGTGGACAGGGGAATGGTGGCGGCGGAGAAGGGGATCGAGGCGGCCGAGAAGGGGGTCGTGACGGCGGAGAAAGAGATCGAGTCGGCGGAGAAGGGAATCGAGGAGGCGGTGAGCTTTGGGGGCCTGGCACAGGCCAGTGCCGTCGCCGGCGCGGAGGTGGTCGGAGTACTGGTCGCCACGTCTGTCGTGAATGGGATTCTAGGGCCGGAAGCTCGGAAATCATGAGGAAATATCTCAATTCTTCATCACTTTTTTTCTTTTAATTATTTTTCGGATGTTGATTATGTTGAGTGTGTTTGTAATTCGCTTGAGCATTGGTAATTTGCCTAACTCTGAAATAACACAAAGTAAAATTAGTAAGTGTGACTTACTTTACTTGTAATGGAGTTACATTAGTTTACACTTTGGCAAAATTGCATTTTTTGTCCTGCTGCTTTGACTTGTGGCATTTTTAGTCCTGAGATTGGAGCAATTTTCTATTTAGTCCCGTAACTTCGAAAGTCAACGCAATTTTAGTCCTTCCGACGACCAAAAGTCAACACTGTGGTCGGATTTGTCACGTGGCCCGCACGTGACGCCCTCGTGGCCGATTTCCTCTGACATGGCAAGCTTGGACGCCAACGTGGCAACCAAATGAAATAAAAAAAAACAGAAAAAAACAAAATTCCACGCGACATTAAAAAATAGAAAAATAAATTAAAAAAACAGAAAATAACAAAAAGGGATCGACTCTCACACTCACACACTTAAAATCCCCAAATTCATCGTCGTCCCCTGAAGAACCCTAAATTCCCAAACCCAAACCAAGAACCCTAATCCCAAGATTTACCAAATTCGCAAATAAATGTCGTCGAACTCATATATAAGGGATCATAGGTACTGCTATTGCGGTGAAAGGCCAGTCATTCGAACCTCTTGGACATCGGACAATCTCGGCTGCCGATTTCGTTCTTGCATTGAGTACGAGGTAAGTGGATATTGTTTTCCAATTCTTTTGTGGTTCATTTTTTTGGGCAAAATTGTTCCTATTTTTCTTTGTATGTATGTAGGGAGAAGAAAATCCAGGGTGTAATTTTTTCTCTTGGGTTGATCCTCCTATGTGTAGAAGGTCCACGGAAATTATTCCTGGATTGTTGCGAAAATCAAATGTTTTGCGTGCTGAGAATGAAGAATTGCGAGAGGAAAACATTAGATTGGTTGAATGCAAGAAGAAGCTGGAGTTAGAGATGTCGGATTGGCAAAGGGAGTTGAAGTCCGCGGAAATGATTCCTGGATTGTTGCAAAAATCAAATGAGTTGCGTACTGAGATTGAAGCGAGAGGAAAACATTAGATTGGTTGAATGCAAGAAGAAGCTGGAGTTAGAGATCTCGGATTGGCAAAGGGAGTTGAAGTCCGCTAAAAAGGCCAAATTTTGGTTGCTCATGGGGGTTGTGACTCTGTTTCTATACATGTTCTTAAAGAACAAGTGATCTGACCGAGTCTATGAAGAAGAAAATGGTAGTGTTGGACTAGCTTTGTTATGTTTGAACTTCTTGTTTGTTATTAGCCTAATGTTGTGACTGTTTTTGAACAATTGTTGAATTATTTTGTTTGAATTCACTTTTGTTGTAATGAAAGTATGTTATGTGTTATTGAATGTTAATGGTTGTTGCTTTGTTGTTGATTGTTGGCATGGTGTTTATGGCTAGCAGTTACTAATGAATGTTAAGGGTGTTTCAATTCAATTTTGCTTTGTTTATGGCAAACACAATGTAACTTCTCACCATATTTGACAGACACTGAGAGTGCTAAACTATTTATACAGGCAAAGATTTCTAACCAAATCTCTTTTATTTTATTTTTTTGTGCATTTTGAGTACAAATCTTGTGCGGGTAGGAAATCTTGTGAATTTTGAGTACAAATCTTGTGTTTGGGAGATGGGATATCACAGCCACCCCCTTTAATGAACACATTAATTTCATAACTTGAATTACAAAACATTTCACTGCCATAATCCCAAATCTAAATTTCACAATTTTCACCATTACACATCCAAAGGCACAACCATCCAAAAAATACCACAGTTTGAATTACCATCCAAAAGCATCCTAAACCATCAAAAATCATCAAAACACACCACAGTTTCAACAATTTCAATGACCATCAACAATTTCCAACAAATACAAACACTTTTAGTTTTCATCTCTTGATTGCATTGAACTCTGCAGCTGTTGGTAAGGGGTAGGCCCGGGTTGATTGACAACTTTAGGGATTTCATACTCATCAATGAGTTCACACAATGACTGCAACTCCTCATCTTCTTCTTTATGGCTTATGTCTGGTGGCAAAAGTGTAGGATTCTGAAAAAAAATGATTGAATTGAAGTTAAATTTTAATATGGTTAGAAACAATTGGTTTCAGAAGTCAATTTGTTATACACAAATGGATAATTAAATGAGTGTAATGAACACTTACTTGTGAGGATTGTTCTGTCCCAACTGTGGCCTTCTTTGCCCTTTTCCTTTTACCTCTGTCAGCAGCAGCTCTTGCTCTTTTCCTTTCAAGCTATAGAATAAACATAGAATAAAGTAAAGTCACATAAACATAGAATAAAAAATAAGAAAACATTACTTATAACAGAAAACTTACAATTGTATTAAAATCCCTTTTCAATGGAGAGTTGTCGACTTCTTGAGTTACTTGACTTTGATTTTGGCTTAGAGTGTTCATTTCTTTCTCCTTTCTTTTCTCACAAGACCTTGCATTGTGGCCAGCCATGCCACACTTTTTGCACCTCACAGTTGGCTGTTGCCTCTTCATTTTCATTGGTTGTTTCCCTCTCATCTTTTTCCCTTTCATTTTAGACTCTTCTTGATCTCTTCTTCTTGCCTTTGAAGGCCTGCCAGCACCTCTCCCAAAGTTGGGAGGTAAAGGAGGAACAAAAAGGGTCTGTCTCCACAATAAAGGACCATTTGTGCCTAGTATTGACCCCCTATACACATTCCTATAACACTCTTGTGAAGAACAACCATCTACAAAGTCAACAGGCACCAGCTTCTGAGCTATTATGGCACTACATGCATGCTTACAAGGAATGCCCCCCAAATCCCATACCCTATAGCTGCAAATTTTCTTCTCCAAATCAACAGTGAACTGTGATCCATCATAACAATTAATCTGATAGTGCCTATCATCACATTTAGTTGGCATGCAGTCAGATACATATGACAAGTGTTTCTAAAGGATCAAGTTTATGTTAGGGCAAATTTTGTTCTTCCACTTCAACTCTGCCTTATCTCTTTTTTTCTGCATCTTAATGCATATGTACTCTCTAATCCACTCAAACATAGTGATAATGGGCTTTTCCCTTGCTTCAAGAATGTTGGAGTTAAATGTTTCACACACATTATTGAGCAACATGTCACACTTTGGCAGTTCAGAAAAAAAAAGCTCTTGACCAATGTTGTGGTGGTTTATCAAGAAACCAATTAAAAGCATCAGGACTCATCTTTTTTATTTCAAGCATTCTTGTATTAAACTCAGCAATAGTGGTTGCTTGTGCTGCTCTCCACACAGCAAACTTATAGGCCAAACCCCTAAACCCAGCCTTCAAAAAATTGTTGTGAAGGTGCCTCACACAGAACCTGTGAGTAGCCCCAGGGAAGACAACATCAAAGGCTTTGATAAGCCCCTTCTGCTTATAAAAAATGAAGGTATACTGCTCAGGCCTAGAAATGCCTAAATCTTTCTTCAGAATTATGAGAAACCACTCCCATGTTTCAAAACACTCAATCCCTACTACAACAAAGGCAATGGGAAACAATGTGTTGTTTGGGTCTACACCTACTGCAGTCAAGAGTATCCCCCTATGTGGACCCTTTAAATGACAGCCATCTACACCCACAATTGGCCTACACCTATTCTTGAACCCCTCTCTAAGAGCATTAAAACAAACATAAAATTTGTTGAATCTCTCCTCACCATCAAACTTCTCAGTGGCAAGAACAACAGTTGACCCAGGGTTTGAAGTTCTCAACTCCTCTGCATAATCCCACAATTGGGAATACTGATCATGAGGCTCTCCTTCAAGTTGTGCCAGGGCTCTTCTTTTAGCCCTATAGGCCTGATCCTTTGATATATTAACATTAAGCTTGTTAATAATATCAAGTCTCCAGCCTTTAACACTTCTTTTAGGATCAGTTTGAAAATGGCTTAAGAATTTTTCACTTAGCCACTTTGATTTGATGTTTTTGACCTCAAAAGTTTCAGAGCAAGAGTGAATGGGGTTGTATTCCCTGATTTGAAAACTGGCTTGATCCTTCATTTTCAATAGGTTTATCTTCCAATTACACTCTTCATCTGCACATCTCACATACACCCTTATCTTATCATTCTTTTCTGTCTTAAGGTTTCTGTTGGTTTTAATTGAATGTGATTGGATGGCTTTTCTAAATTCTTCTTTAGTTGCAAACACTATTCCAATATTAAATACAGGATCCCACACTTGGTTAGAATTAAACACAGGAGGATCAACATCTTCATCATCACTACCCCTCAGTTCATCTAAATCATCAGGAACCTCAACCACATCATCATCACTATCAGTACTAGAATCACCATCTTCCATCCCCCCCAACTGGCCCCTGCATCCACATTCTCACTAAACAATGCATCATCATCATCACTGCTACTATTTCTAAAATCATAATCACTATCAAGAAAATCATCATCATCTTCTTGCCTCTCTTGTTCACTCTGTTCATTTTCATTTTCTTCAACATCTAAATTCTCACCAACAAAATTCCCACTCTCATGTTCAATATTTTCATTCTCACAAACACCACCCTTCCCACTCTCAGAACCATTGCCCTTCCCACTCTCATTTTTACTTTTTTCACTCTCAGAACCACTAACCTTCCCACTCTCATTTTCATTTTTTTCACTCTCATTTTCACTCTCAGCACCACTCTCAGCACCACTCTCAGAACCACTCTCAGAACCACTCTCAGAACCACCCTCAGAACCACTCTCAAAACCACTCTCAGACTCACGCCCACTCTCAGAATCAGAGTCAAAATTAATCCATCCCTCATCCATGGACAAACTAGAAGGACTGAATGTACCTTCATTTTCAACATAAAAAGTCATTTCTCTACAACCATATTTATAACATAAAGCCCTTATTTTAATGTCTTCATCATCAAGCAGTGGCTTGAAAGCCAAACCAATCAATAAGAAGTACTTCCTACTACCAACAACACCAAATTTGTCAGACATTTTCTTCAATATGGAATTATTCAAGGACCTCATATGGACAAAATCAAATGTCATTTTAGACCCTCCTTGATAACACACAAAACTTTCTATTTGAAATGTTCCACCACACCACATAGTTACTGTAAACAACTCACCACTACGATCTATGGAGAACAGACTGTTTGTCCCGTTTTTGTGTCTTTATTTCATGTTTATTTTCTTTTTGTTTTCCCCCATTTGTAGGATTTTCGTAGTTCATTTGGTCCATTTCGTCCATTTTGCGTTTTTATCTTTAGTTTATATTTTTGTATCTTTTTGTCGTGTTTTGCTTCGTGTTTTTCCTTGTTTTTGTGTTTTCAGGAGGTAGAATGTGCCAGTCGAGGATGAGACTATTTGAGCCGAGTCCATGATATCGAGAATACCCGTTGCCGAGCCAGAAGACTAAAGAAAGGCTAGAAAATCGGACAGAATCTGTTCCCAGGAATTCTCGCGACTCGCGAGTCGTCTCGCGACTCGCGACTCGGGTCGCGACTCGCGAACATGTCGCGACCCGCGAGAAAAACTGTGGCTAAAAGGCAGTTGCGAGTCGATGTCGCGACTCGCGAGAGGATCTCGCGACTCGCGAGGTATAGTCGCGACTCGCGACCCATGTCGCGACCTGTCCCAGAAAGTTATCAATTTGAAGACGCGCGACTCGCGAGGAAGTCGCGACTCGCGACCAAGACAAAGGCCATCTCGCGACTCGCGACTCAAGTCGCGAGTCGCGACTTAACCGGCGTGTTTTTCGAGGAGCGGGATTTTTTATTGCTGTTTTTGATCCTAGGTTTAGGATTCACCATTCAGACTTTATTTTTACGTTCCCTCTGGAGAAAAGACCATTCCTTTTATTTCTTTCGCACTTTCGAATTGTTTTGGGGGATTTGACAACTTCTATTGTCTTGCTTGGGATTGGATACTATTGGATTGAGTTCAGAATTTTCATTAATCGTAAGTATTTTTCTTCAATTCTTCAATTGATGATGATGTCTTGGGTTATGAATGTTTGCGTAATCAAATCCAATATGAGTAGCTAAATCCATCTGCTAGGGATAGGGGATAATTGATTAGGTTCAATTATAATTGCTTGTTCTTAATTGTTCATATCTATGCGAGTTGAGTTCAATTTAGGGTTAATAGATTGATCACCTATATAACCTAGTTAATCATTGTTTAGAACCGAAAGGGGAGACATTGGTCGATTTAGGCTCGTTTAGAATAGACTTGTTCGTCAAAGTATTGTCTATGAGTTGCTGGATTTGATAGTCAATCGTATATGTTCACTCTCTTGTTACGAAGAGTTATTGAGAGTGGACCTCTAAACGAGAGACGACTCACTTCCTTAAACCGAGCAATTGATTGCCGGTAGTTGTGTAAGAACCGAAAGCAGTTGTCCCCGATTCCCTAGCTCTTTAAATTCTCAGTTAATTCGTTACTGTTCATTTAGTGCTTTATTTAATTTAAAGTTGGTAGTTGATAATTGAAACCCAAATCTTTGAACTAGAGTGTTTAGGATTTTTATCTTCTTTTGTGATTGAATAATCGAACAATTGTATCCGGCTAACCTTCCTCGAGAGATCGACCCGGGAAACGAATCTTTCGATTCGGTACTCGGTAAATATATTTTGCTACAACAAAATTGGCGCCGTTGCCGGGGAAGGTTTAGGATTATAATTGTGCGCCTATTCATTTTGTTTTTAGTGTTTCTCTTATTTCTTGTGATTTTTCTTGTTTCCGTGTTTCTCTTGACTTCTTTTTATTTGTTAGGTGTTAGTTCTCGTTTTATTTTGTTTTTATTTTGTTTTATCATTGGTGCTCGTAACCCTTGTTGGTCTTAGTGTATGCGTACCAGGAGTGGACGCAAATTGCTATCTCCGATCAACAAATCAGTCAACGAGAGCCTGAGGGAGCTGTTGGAAGAACTGACTCTCGAGTCTAACGAAGGAAACGAACACTCCCCGAAATCGTCAGAAGGCAGTAACGTCGTCATGGACGAACAACAGCAACATCTGCCTCGCAACACCCTTCGAGATCTAGCCCATCCGACAATTGGGCCGATAACCTCATGCATCCGGTTGCCACAAGAAGCTCGGAACTACGAGCTTAAGATGATCCATTACAACCAGCTGCCATCCTTCCACGGGCTCCCGAATGAAGACCCGCTTAACTTCATTCGGGAATTCTACAATGTGCTACAGACCTTCCCTCTCCACGGGCTTACAGAAGAGCAACTGAAGATGAGGTGCTTTCCCGAGACACTGAAGGACCGGGCCAAGTCCTGGTTCATGACCCTCGCACCGGACTCTCTCACTACTTGGACTGACGTATACACGAAGTTCATTGGGAGGTACTACTCCCATCAGAAGACCCAGGAGCTCCGGTCGCAGATCGTCTCATTCGCTCAACTACCGAACGAGCCTCTTCACGAGGCTTGGGAGCGGTTCAAGGATCTCCAGCGGCAGTGTCCTCATCACAATCTCTCTCCGGGACTATTGATCAACTGCTTCTACGACTCCCTCCATCAGAACTTGCAGTATATGGTTGACAATGCGGCTGGAGGAGATATTGGAGCGAAGACAGCTGAGGAGATGTTCGCAATTTTCGAGACAATGAGCACGAACTCATCACAAAAGAGCAGCCGAGGGAAGAGAGTGGTAGTGAATGAGGTCGGGCCAGGGAGCAATTTGATGGCCCAGCAGTTAGCCGAGCTCACAGAGCAAATGCGTCTACTTAATGCACGAGGAGCTCAGCCGGTTCAGACCATGGCCGTTGACACGTGTGGGGCTTGTGGAGTCCCAGGCCATAGGTCTGAAGTGTGCCCCTCAGCCTTCGACCAGGAGTTCGGTGAACAGTATGCAGATGCCAGCGCCTTACAAGGATACCAAGCCCGGCCTGGCAATGACCCGTACTCGAATACGTACAATCCGGGATGGCGGAATCACCCAGCTTTCTCATGGTCGAACAACTCGAACACCCTTCAGCCACCCCGTCCGAATTTCATGCAGCAACAACCTCGACCCAACTTTGTGCCCCGTCCCAACTACCAGCCACAGCAGCAGCAACAGAGGGGACCAGAAGCCGGGTCAAGTTCGAACATTCAAGACGATGTTGCCAAAATCCTTCAATTTATGGCTAACAGAGAGCAGCGAGATGTCAATCAGGATGCCTCCATCAAGCGCATTGAGACACAGTTAGGCCAACTGGCTACTCGGGTCGGAACTATTGAGACCGAGATGAACAAGGGGAAGTTGCCTAGTCAGCCCGAGGACGCTAAGGCCATCACTGTACTCAGAAGCGGGAAGGAAGTGGACAACAAAGTACAGATGTCCGAGCCCAAAGATAAGGAGACTCATTCAGAAAAGATCCAGGAAGCAGAGCCGGGGAAGGAGACAGAAGAGCCGGTGCTACATAAGTCGCCGAATCCATACAAGCCGCGTATCCCTTTTCCGGACCGACTTAGAAACGAGAAGCAGGAAAAGCAGTTCCGGGATCTCTTCAGTATGCTCTCCAAGGTAAATGTTAACTTGCCCCTCCTTGACGTGATCAAGAATATGCCATCCTATGGGAAGTTTTTTAAGGACTTGGTGACAAAGAAGAGGAAGTTCGAGGATGGAGAGAAAGTGGTTGTGTATGAGGCGGCAAGTGCAATGCAGCATGACTTGCCCAAGAAGGAACGAGACCCCGGTGGTTTCATTATCCAGATAGCCTTGGGAAACGGGAAGGTAGCTTCGGGGATGCTTGATCTTGGAGCCGGAATAAATCTCATGCCCTTCTCGATTTTTCAGAGGCTTGGTCTTGGGGAGTTGAGGCCGACCCGCATGTGCCTCCAGTTGGCGGACCGTTCCATCCGGTATCCGAAGGGGATAGTCGAGGATGTTCTCGTGAAGGTGGGTAAGCTTATCATTCCCGTTGACTTCGTTGTCTTAGACGTTGGAGATGTGCACGAGAATGGGAAGGATCACACCATCCTTCTCGGGAGACCTTTCATGGCAACCACGAATACCCTTATAGATGTGAAGAATGGGACCCTGAATATGACTGTGTTGGGGGAGTCGGTGTCTATTTCCGTTCGAGGAGCCATGTCTGCTTCCTCATTGAATTTTGTAGAAGAATGTGCTTTCGTTGATCTAGCCGACCCCTGTGTTAACGAGATGGTCATTCACGAGTTCGAGGAGATATCTATGCCGGTTTTTGAGTATGAGGATGAGCCTATAGTTGAGCTTTTTGAAGCGGGAGAGGGCCATTCCCGAGCTGAGGCCACACTCGAGCTCAAGGAGCTGCCCAAGCACCTTAAGTATGTCTTCTTGGATGATGCCCAACAGAAGCCGGTGATCATCTTTGCTGAGCTTGACCGTGAGGAAGAAGAGGAGCTGATTGCTATGCTTCGGAAGAACCAGAAGGCAATCGGGTGGAGTCTGGGAGACATCAAAGGGATCAGTCCATCTACATGCATGCACCGGATCATCTTGGAGGAGGGAGCCAAACCTTTTCGGGATAGCCAACGCCGGCTTAACCCGAATATGATGGAGGTGGTCAAGAAGGAGGTGTTGAAGCTTTTCTCTGAAGGGTTGATCTATCCAGTGGCGAGCAGTGAGTGGGTCAGTCCTATTCATGTGGTGCCCAAGAAGGGGGGCATAACTGTGGTCGAGAACGATAAGAAGGAGTTGGTCCCCACCCGCATCACTACTGGGTGGCGCATGTGTATTGACTATCGGCGACTGAATGCGGTGACGAAGAAAGACCATTTCCCGTTGCCGTTTATTGACCAGATCCTTGATCGTCTTTCGGGCCATCAGTTCTACTGCTTTTTGGATGGACTTTCCGGCTACTACCAAGTGGCTATTGCACCTGAAGATCAGCCCAAGACGACGTTCACGTGCCCCTTCGGCACCTTCGCATTCAGACGGATGCCCTTTGGCCTTTGCAATGCACCGGGTACATTTCAGAGGTGCATGTTCTCCATTTTCTCGGATATGCTTGAGGACTGCCTGCAGGTATTTATGGATGACTTCTCTATCTTTGGTGATTCATTTTCTCAT